AGTTAGCTTTACTTTTTTTTTTCTTTTACTTTTTTCTTTTTTCCCATTTTATATTCATTAAACATTCACGTAGTAGATCGATATTAATTTTCTCTGATATATATATATATATATAAAGAGAGAGGGAAAGAGAGAAAGAGTAAGAGAGAAAATAAAATCGATAGGAATATATTATGGTGCTTTTTAAATTTTGCAATTATGCATTTCCTCGTTTTCTCGTAGAAGAATAATAAAAAAAAAAAAAAAAAAAAAGAGAAAAAAAAAAAAAGAAAAAGAAATACCTAATGCACCTGACACACTATTTTCATTCATCTTACAATAATATTAGGTTTTAACATTCATTTTGTCTCTTTATTATTCATTATTAATGAAAATACTAATAGGAATTCATATTATCATTATTATTATTATTATTATTATTATTATTATTATTAATCGATATTTTCTCTGTGAATAATTCATTAATCAAATTGATTTTATAAATAATTTTTTATTGTAAATAATTTAAATAATAATTTTTATTTTATTTAGTAATATTTAATAAATATTAATATTTAAATATAATACATGATAAAATAAATAATAAAATAAATAATTAAATTATTAAATTATATAAGTAACAAATAATTAAATATTAAATAAAACAAATAATAAAATAAACAATTAAATTATTAAATTGTATAAATAATAAATAATTAAATTATTAAATTATATAAATAATAAATAATTAAATATTAAATAAAATAAATAATTAAAAATAATTTAATAAGTTATTATTTAAATATTATTTTAAATATAATATATTTTTTTTTCTATATAAAAGATAAAACAATTAACAACAACAACAACAACAACAAAAATAACTAATTTACAATTAAATTAAGGGTGTGTACCATCAAGTTGCAAATAAAATTTCAAATAAAGAAGAAAAAAACACACACACACACATACACAAAACAAAACAAAAGTCTATCTATAATAAAGTTTCATTCAAAATGACAATTTTATTATTCTATCTAATTCGTTTACCCATAAAATATAAGTCTATCTATTATAGATAAAAATAAAAAAAAAAATAAAAAAAATAAAAAAAAATAAGAAAATACACAGATAAATATCGAACGTGTTGTCATCGATATAATACGAATTGAAATGGGATTGCGTTATCACGTTTATTCTATAATTTCGCACGTTTCGCAATCAATCCGAGGAAAGTTAAAAAAAAAAAACAAAAAACTAATTGAATATTCCTGAATAAAGCATCATATATCTATATACATATATATACACACATACATACAATATATAGACGTACGAATAGGTAGATTTACCGTGTTAATTCATATTTGAATGCATTCATTCATATTTCTCATGATATATATTCCATTTTGGTTTCTATCTCATTCTCTCTATCTATCTATCTGTATGTCTGTCTGTCTGTCTGTCTGTTCATTCGTTCGTTCATTCGTTCGTTCATTCGTTCGTTCATCTGCCAAACAGAGAGACAAATGACGTTCCTCGTAATTTCTCGAACGTCGCAATTGGAATGTCATTATAATACTAAGCACGTTCGAATCGTCGTGCACGTCATATTAAATCAATTTATCGTTAATTCGTTCGCATAACTCTTTCTCTTTCTCTTTCTTTCTCTTTCTTTCTCTTTCATATTTTATTTTTTTATTTTTAAAATTTTTTTTATGGTATTATTCGTTTATCGCGAGAATGTCAAAGTAAGATTTGTATTTATCAAAGAGAATCCTGTTAAAAGTACTGTTTAGTTTAAATGCGAATTACTCAGAATTGATTGTTAATATTATTATCATAGTTTTTCTCGAATAGTCATGGAATTTAATGCGTATGAAAAGAACATCTGTGTATATACGGTAAAGGCTAGGTAAATAAACAAAAATTATTACGTATGAAAAATACTATCAGTAAGAATGATAAGTGTGAATTTTATGAAATTTCATCCTACGTATATTTGAAACGAGTAGTAATGTTTGATTAGTTTGTTCATGTTTTTTTTTTTTTAAATTATTATTATTATATATTTTTTTTTTTTTAATGTATCCGGTATACTATATTTATAGGAATAATAATTTGCTATAATTATTTGTATTTTAATGTTTATTATATAATTATATATTATATATTAAATTAATACTATACATTTTATAATATTGTAATATATATATATATATATATATATATAATAATATAACACATATAATTAAAAATATATAATAATATAAGTTATATTAATAATATAAATAATTTAATTATTTAATTTTGCAAATAAATTTTATAATAAAAAAATAAATAATGTAATAAAATAATAATATAATATATAATATAATAATATAACATATAATTATAAATATATAATAATATAAGTTATATTAATAATATAAATAATTTATTTATTTAATTTTGCAAATAAATTTTGTAATAAAAAAATAAATAATAATAAATAATAATAAATATTATACAATATATATATATATATATATTATATTATTTATTTTATTATTTTAATAATAATAATATAATCACTATAATATTATTATATATAATATTTATTATATAAATTATATTATATAAATTATATAATATCCTAATATTATATCAATTTCAATTTTTTCCCTTTACTTTTGTCTTGCAGATATTTTGGTATCCCTTCTGTTCTCCATCTTCCATATTTCCTGTTCTACTTTGATTCTGAATATCCTAATATTATAGATTATAATTATCACATAAAAGTGATATGGTTAAAATTTTATATAATTACCATTGATATATATATATATATAAAAATGATAAATAATCTCTTATTATTTTTCAATAAAATCACGATTTTTAAGTACCATTATTAATAGATCAAAATTTTAGATTTAAACAAATAAAAAAAAAAAAAAATGATGTTTGAAAAACAGGAAATTGAAGAAAAAAAAAAAAAAGATTCTAATACAGATACGAATAAATTAATCGATAACTATCAATCTGATTATTCCGATCTGATTATTTCCTATTTATCTGATACCGGAAATTGGACTACTATATATGTATATTCTTATTATCATCAATTTTCAAATACATTGAAAAAGTATAGCTTTTTTATTGGTTACGTGTTCTCGATGATAAATATCTCTACTGTTGTATAGATATATAAGTAACCTCCTATCTTGATAGTATAGGTTTTGAAGGTTGTGTCATCGAAGCCAAGCAGCCTACTTCGGGTTCGTTACTAGCCGAATAATGAGATTTCACGACGGTCTGTGATGTTCAAAGGAAGGCGAATCGGTCTCATGGAAAATCCCCTAATCACACTCGATTGCTTTCATGTTAAGCGTAACTCTCTAGCAACTTGATTATTCCCATAGGAATAATATAATACTCATGTGTATGTATGTATGTATGTATGTATGTATGTATACATGTGTATGTGTTAGTTTGATTTGATACATAATACCCCATATACGTTTTTGTTTTTGTTACTTTCCAAATTTTCTAATTAATCATTCGAATATCTAAATTACTTAATCAATTTGAAAATTATTTCGTGTAATGATTTTTATTTTTTACTGTTCATACAAATACATGTTTCAAAACGTGTTCAACTATTTAAAGATCGTTTATACTTATTTTAGGATATAATAAAACTGGGTTAATGTGTCATAGGGTCTTTTCATAGAAATTACACAAAAGTTAAACGCGCGACCTATTCTTTTTTCTTTTTTTTTTCTTTTTTTTTTTTTACTTAGGTATTCATATGAACAAAATACACGTCAGATTCTAAAAAAAAAAAAAAAGATAATTTATATTTTGAAAATTCTAACGTAAGAATTTCGACATGCTTGTTGCATGACAAGCCTATCTAATATGCATTAAGTATGATGATTATGAAATATTGAGGAAAAATGTTTTAAATGAAAAACATGAATAGTTTTGTTAGTTAGTTCTATGAGTTATTTATTCAATGGAAAGATCAGAAAGAGTCAAATTATGCAGAATGTTACCGATCAATTTTGAATGATTTCATACATAAATTTAATTTGACGAAATTCATTTAAAAAAAAAAAAAAAA